CCCCAAAACCCCAAAACCCCAAAACCCCAAAACCCCATTGGGTTTTTATTGTTCAAATTTAATAAATGATTGTAAATTAAATAAATCTTGATAGAACATCATTGAGACCAATCTAAGTGTAAAATTGATATGTTCAGCGATAATTCCTGCTTCCTAATAGAATATCACTTGATCCATGATCAGATACCACGTGTTTTGAGTATTATGTCACGATTCTCGAGTTTTGAAAAGGAATTTGGTGCTTGAACAACTTTGGTGATAAATCTTTCATAAGCATCTGGATAAGAGAAGATATTAGTGTTGTCAATCTCAGCAATCTCAGTGAGAGGGATCAACTCTTCCTTCAATTCCGAACATAAATCAATAACATTCTGCTTGCAAATGTTTATTGCCTCGCTTGAAAGGAAATTTTAATCTCTAAAATCACCTGATTTATCTACAATAGTATAGTTGGCATATAAGTGGAACAACTTGTCAAAAATAACTCTTGTCTCCTTATCTTTAACATTGCTAATTCTTCTAAGGTAAGCTTCAATGAAGAAAGTTTCTCCAAATAAGACTGAGAGTACATTTTATGAGAAAGGTAAGCTCTCTTGATAGGCTTGATACATCCCTTTCTGTTGTGACTGCTACTGCATTTGCATTAAAGCTTTGAAGGTAGTTTGTGCTGTCATACCTCTGAATACTCTTACAATATTATCATTGCTTTTAAAATCTTCAGTAATCTTAGCTTTGTATTCATCCATATCTTCGAAATATTCCTTCAAATAAGCTAGGTTTTCATCTTATACAGGTTTATTTTGCATAACATTGTAGGCGTTTTTCAAAACAAATTTTGCTGTCTATTGCAGTAGGACTTTGTTGTCTCCCTCCCATGTTAAGTTTATATCATGGTCATTGATTGATGGACCAATTTCACTATATTAGGAATATCCTAATCCACCAAGCGCCTGTCTTACTTCTTCAAGATCTCTATGGACACAAGTGCTCAAATGAGATTTAGCAAAAGTAATTAAAGCATGGAATAACTTAAGTCCATTGAACTTAGGATCTGTTAACTTGTCTCTATTGTCAAAATACATGCTGACCAATTCATCTTGGCCGAATCTAAGGACAAAGCATCTTGCTAATCTTGGTATTAATCTGTACTAGAATAATTGATAGTTTATCAAAACTGACTCATCAGCTCCAATTTTCATATTGTTTGAGAACTACCTTCTTAAATGACCATATCTGATCGCTGTATTCAATGCATAAAATCCAATGTTCTACAAGATAAAACCATTATAAATTTCAGACAACTTACGACTGTGGCATGAGCCATCATAGTTCTACCAAAACTGAGGGAAGAAAGCACGAAAGCAAATCTTTTGCCTTTTGTTGGTATGATTGATGTGTATGTTCCATCATCAGCTACTTGGAAAAATCTATCTAGTAAAGCATCTTTGCTGATCCTATAATCGCTGAATTTCAAGAATCCGTTATCAATTCCATGCTAAAGGACAGTTAATTAAACTTGATATTTACATGGCCAATTTTCGCTCCACAATCACCAATCAAAACTCCAGGCAAGGGCTGATGTGTCCTTCTATCTCTGAGAGGTACGACAAAAGCATGGACACCTTAGCCTTTACCTTGAGTATGAAGTTAGGCAAACACAACTCCAATATGAGCTGTTTTACCAAGATTTCCAATCCAAAATTTCATGTCTTAATCTCGGGGAGTATTCAATATAAACTCCCTAGTTGATGGATCATAGGTTGCTCTAGTTTTGAGTCCCTGAACATTTGAGCCATGAGATAATTCAGTCATACAAAAGCAAGCCATATCTTCCAATGATGCAGCTCTCATCACTAGAGGCCAGTGCTTTTCAGTTCCCAAATTTATAACACTCTTCATGTAGAGTCCAAAGTGTACATCTAAATTTTGAATTTTTAGATTTAACGCACAAGAAAATGTAAATATACTTTGCTTAATTAGCATTGCGCTATCAAGATCTCTTTTAATTTGTTGAGTCATCAAAAAGGTTTCAGGGTCCTTGGCAATCTACTCTACAGTAAAGATTCTTCTCTTGAGGATCTCATTATGAAGAGCTATCAATTACTAATTGCAAAGATCTCTTTTGTCTTCTCTTGAATTCTCAATGAAAGCATTTGGCCTATAGAAATACTCATATTTATTTAGAGAGTAGTTACTAAAAACCTTGACCGTTCATGATTATTTAGTTAATAATCTTCTATTCGGGAGGGCATGTCCTTGGATTAAGTCTGTACACTCGTCTGGCTTCCTATATATTTAACTTGCTCAACCTTGGATCATATTCCCAGCCAGTTGGCAAGCTTGTTTTCAAGAGAGTAGGTGCCGACGTCACGCCAAATTGCTGATTTAAAATAGCTAATTTCTGCATTTAATTATATTCATTAGATCTATAAAATCCCATTTAAATAATCTAATCATATATTCTCTTTGGGGTTTTGGGGTTTTGGGGTTTTGGGG